GGGATCCTGACCCCCCCGTCCCTCTCCTCCGACCACCAGACCCCGCTGCCCACCCCACACCTGAGCCAGAAACAGAACCCAGGAGTCCTGACCCCCGATCCCTCCTCTCTGATCACTGGACCCTACAGTCCCCTCCTAGAGCCAGGAACAGAACCCAAAGATCCTGACCCCTTGTCCCTCTTCTCCAACCACCAGACCCCATCCCACACCCGAGCCAGGAATGGAACCCAGGAGTCCTGTGCTTCTGCTCTCATCCCCAGAATCTACCCACTCCCAAAGGTGGGACTAGGACCCAGGCGTCCCAACTCCTGTTCCGCTGCGCTAGCCATGAGCCCACTCTCTCCCCTGAGCTCCAGGAATAGATCCCAGGACTCCCTGCCCTACCCTGCTCTAACTATTAGACAACACTTCCCTCTCAGTTACCTGGCACTTGACTTTGCTCCCCAATGAGCTGTGAGCCCCTGGCAGGGTCCAGCTCAGTCCCCTTCCAGCTGCGTGAGCCCCCGTTTTGCCCCCCTGGGCTGGTCTCTCATGCAGTGGCTGGATGACTGGCCTGTTTTCCACGTTGTCTGGAAGCAAGACGCCCCCCCCACACTCCCCCGGAGGGACCAATACTCACATGGGGGGTTTCTTCGGCTCTCCCTGGAATTTCATCTTCTTTGAGGAGTTTGCAGAGCACGGGGGGGCCCTCATCTCACTCAGCTCTCTCTGGAGGGGGGACAGAGACGGACGAGGTGAGGCCAGTCACCGTCTCAGCAGACGCCTCTCCCCCACCCACCCCCCGCTCCAACCTCATAGACGAAAACTTCAGGCAACAAGGCGGTGGGTGTCTCCAGCCACTGGGGCAATCCCCTGCCCGAGAGTCAGGGATGCAGCGGATCAGAGGCGGAGTAACAGCCCCAGAGGAACCCCACAGCCCTGGCCGCAGAACAGATTCTCTGACCCCGGGGACGCACCTCGTAGCGCTTCTGATCCTCCGCCGCCTTCTTTATCCACATCAGCTTCTCCTTCTTCTCCATGTTGTTCCAAGTGGCCTCCATGGCCTTCAGCGCCTTCCCCCGGTCGTTCTGCGGCACAGGGAGACCCGGCAACGCTCAGGTTACGCACCGGACTCCGGGGTTCTACGCGCGACTCCGTCACCGAGCGTGGGCAAGTCGCTTCCTTGCCCCGACCCCACAACATGGCGATATTTACGCCCCCCTCCCCCGGCGAGACCAGGTGACTGATATTTCTAGGGGCTGTACAATGCAGCACAGGGCCGGTTCTCCTCCATAACACCCCCCCCCCCCCCCCCTCGCCCCCCATCTCCTTTGCTACCGAGCACCCAACCAGACCTATGCCCAGTCCAGGCCCATCCCAGAGAGGTCAGATCTAGCAGGCTGCCCCGAGCCCACAATCAGGGAATGTCCCGTTCCTTCTCCAGCAGGGGGTGTGATGGGTGGGGGTGTCCCTGTCTCCTCTCTCCCCCCCCCCTCCAACTCCTCACCTTGAAGCGAGCCAGGTAGTCTCCAATGACGCTCTGCTGCCAGATCTCCTCGGCTGTCTTGGGCGACTCGGGCAGCTTGGCGCGCTCTTCCTTGTCGGAGCCGTGCTTCTTCTCTGACTGCGCCTTCATGGCCGCCTCCCGGGCTTTGTACTTGGCCTGAGCAGACACACAGAAGGCTGGTGGTTAAGGCCCAGGTCTCTCCAACGCAGTCCCCCGGCCTGGCTCCCCTCGGCAAATGCCCCCGCCCCCCCCCCGCCGTCCTAGCTATGAAATAACCTGGGTGCGTGTGAGCTGGGCCCCCATGTACCCCCATCCCCCCCTCACAGAGATGAGAGGGGGAGCAGCATCTGGGCTACTAGATCTGTGGGGGGCTCCCCGGGGGGTTGCACTCCAGCTCCATCAGTTCCCAGCGCTGTTTGGGCAGCAGCGAGTCGGCACCTGCAGCAGCCTGCTTGGAACTGCCAGTGGAGGGTGTTTCAGGTGGGGGGGGGGGGGAAGGGGTGTCACGCAGGTCAGTGGGTAACTGCCCCTTTTCTCCTCTCCCCATCGCTGTGCCAGGCACCAGAACACGTGCCCGCAAGGCACATGTCCACACACCTTCCCCGGATAGTCTGCATAGAGCAGCGGTCCCCAAACTTTTGACCTCTGTCAACCACCCCCCTGGAGCTGGGGAAGGGAGTGGAGCCACGGCTCTGGGGGGGACGGGACAAGGGGGGAGGGACAGACAGGGGTAAGGGGGCCGAGGCTGGGGACGGGCGTGGGACTGGCAGCTGGGGCCCCGGGCATGGCCTGGAAGCTGGGGTCAGCAGCCAGGGCCAGGAGCAGAGCTGGGTGTCGCTCCCTCCCCCCAGCTCTGCCCCCCCCCCCCGAATGTTCCTCTGCGCCCACCTAGGGGGCGCA